CTCAGAGTCTCTGCTCTGAGAGTCTAAGTGGGAGTAATTTTGGCTGTGATTATTTTATTAGTTATTTAATTCCCTGAGGTAACATGCAAAAATGAACCTATGGTGCTGGGAGTGGTGGCATACACCAGTAATCACAGCACATGGGAGGCTGAGGCAGGAAGATTACCCTATGTTTGAGACCAACCTGGCTTCATAGTGAGTTCAAGGCCAGCCTGCCGCAGGCTGCACTACAAAGAGAGAGAGAGCCTGTCTCAAAAACACACAAACAAAAAAATCGTTTTTTCTCATACTCACTCTAAGACAGTCCATATTTTGTCATTAAAAATCTTTTAAAACCTCCTTTCCACAAATATTTGAAAATTATACTAAGAAAAGGTAATTTGTTGTGATAAGTACTCAGATTATTAGTAAAACTGAGGAGATTAAATTCCAGCCCGCAGGAGCTTACTAAAATCAAGTCAGAGCACCAGGGACAGAAATGTCTGTGAAGCAAGGCAGAGGCTGTGCTTAAAGAAGCACAAACCCAGCTAGTGTTCAGAGGCAGGTGAGGGTTTGCTTAGAAGAAAGAAGATAGCAATGGTATCCTGTTATATATGACTCCTGAAGTAACACCGCTGGGCAGGGTTTCAACAGCCCTTTGGTATTTTACCAGAAGCAGTGTCACAGGAAGTGGGAAACAGCCATTCTGTGGACCAAGACATTAAACCTAACTATGGTATCACGAATAATTAAGGGAAAGAGTAGACTGGGGTGACACTGTTTAGGGCCTTGAATCCCAGGAAAGGTTTCTATTTAGCAGGAAAGGAGAATCCTCACGTTCCTCATCTGAATGACAGGAATAGGCTTGCTGCCTGCTGATGTTTTCAACAAACTCTATTGAAGACACAATAAACCCACAACTTAGCCAATAATTTCATGACACTCTCTCTCTCCCAGTGCAAAGATTCAACAATAATTTGTAAATATTGTCATGTAAATTGGTCAAATAGATGTGATTTGTCCGCTGACACTTTTGCTCCTGTTTCCACACATGAACACACCCACCTCCTTTGACCTCTGTTAGGACCTCACACCTGCTGTTTTCATGGGATTTGACATTTTCGTCTCTGCTGACCTTGTGTGTGAACACATGCTTTCTTCTGCAGACCAAATGTTAACCTGCAGAAGGCAGAGCCCATTTTTAACCTATCTCTGCATACTGTGCAGTGCCCAGTTTAATAGGCATTAAAATAAAGGCATTGAGTGATTTAATTATCTGCTTTTTAGTGAAATCATTAGAATCAGCTTAAATGTCCAGCTTCCATGTTAATTTTTACCTGGGGTATTCTTGTTGGAAATCATTGAAAACGGTGCTTGAAATACCCATTTCTTGGCTCTTAAGAAGACTGCTTTATTAATATGTTTGAGATAAAACAATTCACTTTTTCATGTTTGTTACATTTTTATTATAACAGTAATACAAGTTTGTGGTATTATTGATAAGCAAAATGAACTAAAAAATCCTCATTATCTCAACCCAAAAATAACTGCAGTGACTGTCATAGAGGAATTCATGCTGCAGCTTCACATGTGTTTCTTAAGCTCTGCATGCACATAGCTGATTACTCTTTGGGAAGACTAAACTGTTGTTTATTCCTTCTGGAGGTGTTGAGCATGATCTTCGCTTATGTCAACACCATGTATAATCACTAATATTAATCCCAGCAGCACTGTGGGAGAAAATAGTTAAATGTGAATATCCTTGCATGCTCATTAAATTGAATGTTTTTCACGAGGTCATTGATTTTTTACTTCTTTCACAGATTCTCTCTTGGCCTATTTTTCTAGTAGAGTCTCTCTCTCTCTCTCTCTCTCTCTCTCTCTCTGTCTCATTTTTGAGAACTGAATGTCTATTAACAAGTAGTTTCCCCAGCCACTTGTCTTTTACTATATTTCCATTCCATATTACTGGTCCCTAGGAAAAGGGTCAATACACTAAGTGAAAGTCACCCCTGGGATGCACTCCTCCTCCTCCTGCTAAACTGAGTCAATGTCATGAGCTAGAATGGCTTTGGGAATGGAAGCAAATACAAAAGCAACCAGCGGAATATTAATGTCCCATTGAAAAGAATTTTCAGAAACAATGGTAAAGTCAGAGTTTTAAATTAAAAGATTCCCTAACATGCCTTTGACGATGATTACGAATTCATAAATAACAGGAACACTTTCTTTTTATTCTTGAGTATCATATGTAGCCCTAGCTATAAAAGAACATACTATGAAGTGCATGCTAGCGCTGGCAGTTGGACTCGATAGCTGCAGTTCTCAGTACGGCTGTTCTAAACTATTGCTGCCTTGAAGTATTTATGGAATACATGGAAGTCATGTATAGCTGTGCCCCTTAAAGTCAGTAAAGAATGAGCACTTTATGGTTTGGTAAGTAAGAAGTTAGCTGGGGGCAACGCTGAAATTCTTTCTCCTTAGAAATGGAAACTATAAAGCAGAGGAAAGTGAAACAAATGGCAAAAGAGGAAAAAAGCAACATAGTTGGGAGAACAGAGAAAGAGGAACAAAGAAATAGATACAAAACAAGAGACTGAGAAGTGGTGCTTAGAAGTAACACATGCTTTAAAATTATTGTATCCAAAGTATCAAAATACAAGGCGACATTCCACTATCTTTTCCATTTTATTTAAGTAGGGCATTACAAATAAGGGCCATTTAAAAAATATTTTGCATGGAGTTTATCCCTCATAGGATAGGAAATAATTAACTGTGTCTTCCATGGGGCATGAATGTTGAAAGCAGTATATGTTACCTTTTAAAGTTGTTCCAGTACACACCCACACAACTATAATAACATACTGGGAGACAGCTAAACTGGGTGTTAGAAAGGCTACAAGTTGTTTGTTGCAATGTAGAGTTCTGTCAAATTCCCCTTTTCAGATATTTGTTCCCCAGTGGTAGCTTCAGGAACAAAGGGGAAAGCTGGCCATTTATGATTGTACTAGACATAAATAAGTAAACAGTGTTTGGCTAATGGTTGTTTTTGTTGAAGTCACTTTAAGATTTAATAAAAAGAATTGGGTAAGGGACCTAAATCGAAAGATAAAATAGTTTGTTACTATGAAATCAGCCTAGATTAAAACTCTTCCCCGAAAGGAAAACAGAAATGTTTATTAATCTGAAATAATTTTTGATTTCATTTATCACTCAACCTTTTCCAAAATTTTGTTTGACTTAATGTTAATGACTAGGAGAAGCAACATTTTGAGATAGAAACAAGGTAAGTTTAGTTCTTTCATAAATATGTGTAAGATTATGAAATTATTAAAATGTTTATGCAAATATGAAAAATGAAGTTGGTTTATCTGTTTAAAACACAAACTGCCGAGAAATTGTGGGCTTCCTGTAAGGCAGTGTTGAATCTTAAAAATAACTGGCTCAATCAACTAAACAAAAATGGATGAACTGAACAGTCAGAAAACTAAAGTCTAAAACCTTAACTAGCAGTTCCAAGGTATGTAAAGCACAGTTGCTCAGCAAGAGAAAAAGGCAAATTGGGGAAGGACAATACTTTTAAAATGCAGAATGATCACCAATTTGCACCGCAAGGGTCACATGACTTCCTGTCTCCTTGTGCCTTTCACCAGAAATCGGTGATGGAAGTCAGAGGAGACAGAAGCGTATCAGGCACTTTTAAATCCTGACACATAAACATGGCTTGTGTCTCTGCGGATGCGAATTCCTACACGGCCAAGTATTTTAATTAGGATACAAACAAGTTGAAACCTCACCAGTTGACACTTGAATAGCTTCACGCCAATGAAGTGAAAAATGAGCTGTTTAAAAAAAATGTTTGCATAATACTTTTGTGTTTTGCTAACCCAAATTTACTTATTTCCTGATTTCTGAATCCTCTGTGTAAAGTTTATTATTCCTGTAGTTACAAGGTAACTTTTAAGTTGTAAAGTTTTCACCACTAAGTTTTAATGGTTTTCACTAGCATGGATCCGTAATACAATTTATGTTATTTCCGCAACTGTGTCAACACTAAGAATAAAAATCACGTTTTCAAACGCCTGACTTACCTGTCTGAAAATGGCTTTATTTTTCATCACACACATACATACACTACTATGTAAATATATGAACATAGATATACTATGAATGTATATATGCCGACAAATAAGCATACATGTATGTGTCTAGCTATTATACACACCTATATAAATATATACACACACATATAATTTTTTTTATCTTCATAGGCATCCACTCTACATAGAGACCTGCAGAAAGACATCGCTGTCCTGTCACATGGTCAGAGAGATCCCCAAGAGTTTAAAGAGGAACATTCGTAGCAACAATGTATGGGAAGATACTTTTTTAAAATTCTGGGTTTTGACACCAACCAGTACACTGGAACATGTAAGAAGGCGGGGATCCTCTCTTGATAAACTTCCTACAAACTGACATAACAGTGAAAAATGAAACATCAATAGCACCCCGTTTTTTAGCTCAGCGGTTACAAAAGCAGAGATCTCCCCGGGAATATATGCCACACGCCCTACTTGGAAGTCACTTCTTTCTTCGCAATCAGGCGTGAGAAAAGAAGCGTCCACATCCAACCATGGTGGAATCTGGGGAGCTGTTAATAAAACCCCCCACTGAAAGGCACGATTTGGGCTCTCAGGCGACACCGCTGGAATTCGGGGAAACCTGCGAGCGACTTGGCTGCGAGGTCCTGCGGAGCCTTCGTCCCGAGCGAGTGGGAGGGTCACCCTGCAGAGACTAATAAGGGCAGCGATGCGTCCCCGGTGCCCACTCGCAGGGAGCGCGCGGGCTGCTCTCCGGTGGCGGTGGCGGTGGCGGCGGCGGTTGCGGTGCCGCAGCCCAGGAGGGACTCCGCGGCGCCTCCGCGGGGCTGGGACGCGCACCGGAGGTAAGTGCCCGGCCCTGCGCCTCCGCCCTCTCCCACCGCCCGGCCTGGGTTTCGGGTGCCTGGCGGGTCTCGGCTTTTCAAGAAAGAGCAAAAACTGCGCTGGCCGCGGCAGTGTTCCGGGGGCCAGATGCGCACACCTGCCGGCCCGCGCGCCAGTGGCGCAGGCTGGGGACACCTCGCCGTGCCGCAGGGACAGTGTGGCCCTGCCGGGCGCACGGCATGCGGCTTCCTGCGCTGCGCCCGAGCTCCGGCGGCTCTCCGGGCTGTGCGTGCTCGCGAAGCAGAAGCAGCAGCAGCGCTGACGCCAGGCAGAGCAGGCACACGTAGTGCGGGGTTCAGGGCACAGAAACTCGCCGCTCGCGCGGGGTTCCGCTCCGCCCGAGTCCGGAGACGCTGTCCAGCGGAGAGGGGCCGCGGCAGAGGCGGAGGCTGCGGTGCGCGCGTCCGACCTGCGGCGTTTCTCCCCAGCGCGGCCGGGGTCCGAGACTCGGCCCGACCTCTGGAGCGCCGGACCCCGCTGCGCTGCACCCCGCAGCCTGCGCTGCACCCCGCAGCCTGCGCTCCCGCAGCCACCCTGTGCCCGCCGCCCCGGCCGGGCGCAGGAGGCGGAGCCGCGCAGCCCACTGGGGCGCTGCGAGGTCCCGGAGAAGTTTGTTGGCGCGGAACCGGGCACGCACCCCACGCGCTCGCCGCTGGCAAGCAGGCGGGCGTGCAAGCGAGACCTGCCTGGCGCAGAGGTGACTGAGGGAGCGACAAGCAGGCCAGAGGGTGGGCGGCCGAGCTGGGGAACGGGCCGAGTCCTGCGGCAGCCCCAGAGAGGCTCCAGTGCGCAAGAAGGTGGAAGGAAAGGGCTCAGGAACGCGCCGCCAGGCCCGGGGCGGGGGCTTCGTAGCAAAAAGAGGGGGTCCCAGAACAGTGCAGATGCGCCGAGCTTTAGGATTACCACCCAGGGATTGTGGCAGCCTGTGATCCAGAGCCGCAGTTGAGGACTGGGAGATCCTGGAAGGACAGGGCAATAAATTGCGCCGCCTTTCCCACCTCCCCATCCCAAGACTACTTGGTCCCAGCTTCTCTACGCAGGGCAAGTCTGGGGAGGGGAAAAATGTGAGGATGGAGAGCTCTTTAGAGGAATTTCCATTTGCTTGGTTTTGAAGGGGCACTTTAATTCCCCCTCCCCACATCCTCCAAGAAAAGAGGTAGAGAACCGTCTCCTGCACGTACCAAGATGATTCCAATTCTTTAGGGGATTAAAGAAAAACATCTAGTGGGCAAAGGCTATGGGACCCTCTGTAAGTGGAGAAGTCTTTGCTGTGTGCTTGCCAAGGAAACGCTGAGCTGTTGGGCTCAGGTGCTGTGCAGTGGAAATCCCCTGCCTTGGAGGCGGGGGCTGGCGGAGTTCTTCAGATGGGAATATCTCCTCAGGGTGGAGAAGAGGAGGTAGCCGCCAGGGACCGAAAATTAATTCTGTCCCCGGAAGACAGAAAACCGAGACAGTCACTGGTGCACACTTCCAGGAGACTGTGATCTCCAAGTGGTCAGAAACGTACATGAGGTTTTCTGGAAAAGGAAGAAGATGTGGCAGTAAAGCAGAAGAGTGCCTCTGTGACGGACAGGTAAGAGAAATATCAAAAAGGTGGAAGAAACCAAAGGTAATTATCTCTGTAGCTGCGTCATAGTTGTCATAGTTATCTGAGGAAACCATCCCAAACAGATGGAAACCCACAGTATTGTGCAGAAATGAAAAATTTCCATCTCCTTTCTGGTCTTCAGTTTAGTCTCTCCTGCGGCATGTTTGGCCCATTTTTGGAGGCAAGCAGAAATGCTCAGTGGGTACAAAGCAGCTAGATCTAGAGTCAGAAGAAGATATAGCAATAGAAGCCATGGCTAATTGGCATCGAACTCCAAATGCAAGTGGAGAAGGCATAAACAGACATGTAAATAAGCAGGGCTGTAAAGATGTTAATAAAAACCCCTGAAAAAAATGCTAGAAGAAAATAGAACCAAAATAAATAGGACCAGAACTGGCTTACTTGAGGCCCGCCCTGTTGAGGCATTATATCTTAATCAGATGGGAGTAACCAGGTTTAGGAGAAGGGAGCAAGCTAGAGAGCATTTCAGCAGGAGGCATGGTGTGTGTGTGAAGGCTCAAAGGGGAGACAGAGCAGTCATGTGCATGTGCGCCACAGGACCCAGAATCCAGGCAGGGGAAACCTAAGATGAGAAAGCCAGACAGCACCTTGGAGAGCAAGACTGGGAAGTAGAAGCTAAGAGACTCCTTTCAGGGCATCAGTGTGTAGAAAGAAGCTCGTGGAGTGGGAAGTTGCATATTGAACCTGATGGAAAGACTGTGAACCCAAGAGTGTACCAAAGCTGTTAATCTGTGCATAGGTTGTGAATCAAAAATATTCTTGGCCCTCCTTTGAGAGAAATCAAATATAATCATAAGGTTGTAAGATTATTCTATCACAAAGTTAGCTATCATAGCCCACTTTGCCAGTGAGAGGGAAATTAGGAAAAGTGAAGGAATGAGCCAAAATGTACACATATATTGGTTTAAAATTTTAGTGGACAATGATTCATTCATAAAGATACACCTGTGGAAGCAGATCTAGAGAACTGCAACCAGAAAAAAATGTAGGGCAGTTACAATGGTTGAAATTGAGCACCGTGTCAGAAAACTTGATGGAAATAACTGTGATTCAGAGAAATCAGTCAATTAAACCATCGCATTGTGGAGAATGGAGAGAAATTATGAAGCAGCACTGAAGGGATGCTGAGTTTCAGGAGTCCTGGGAAATAAGCACAAGGTTTGAAGTGACTGATAACATAACACAGACCCAGGAAGAAGTGTGATGGAGTTGGTTGGGTGTAAAGTGGCACAAAAGCCAGGATTCAGGGAGTGTTTTCTGTTCTAGCAGTCAGTTCAATAGCAATTTGATCTTTTTTTCTCACTAACCGAAATGATGTGCAATGAACTATCTTTTAGTAGTTTCCTTATACTAGTTCTCTGTAATTATATTTATATGTTAATCCACACATACATGTGCATATCCTTCAATCAATGCTAAATTTGTGTCTGATCTACTAGTTAAAATTCTAAATCTTTGTTTAATTTTTGCCCAAATATGTTACCTTAGACCATATTCATCCTAAACATTGATCTTATGCATACTGGTTAAGTTGTAAATTTAGGGACACAGATGAACAGTCTTTTTAAAGATGTTCAACAGAGAATGAAGAGAAAACTACTGTGAGTGATTGCAGCACAGTGTACATGTGCTAAGGCAGAATGGCTGGGTGCTCTGCAGCTCACCAGGCAGTGGGGAAGTATCTTGCCTGGGTCGTTTCCCCAGATTTCACAGAGGATGTGGCACTTGAACTCCATGTTAAAGATAAAGTAAGAGATTTCAGAAGGTCAGGAGACACCGATCCCCCAATAAGACGTGTGCAGAAGCATGGATGTTTAATGCAGAATGAGTAGTTTGATGGAGTAGAGTTCATTTGCAAAGAGCTAGCAGAACATCAAGATGGGCACATGAGTTACCCCTGACTGTCAAGAGCCATGAGTGGATTTCTTAGGAGAAGACAACAAAAAGTCACCAGAAGACTTGATGGAGAACACTATAGGGTGACTCAATAGTTATCTTGGCAATTCAGTTCATGGGCAGCAAGATTAGACCTGGTAAGGAGGTGAATGAACATTGGGTGAGGATGAGCAAGTTTGTACGGACTCACAAGTCACTTTGCAAATAGAACTGATAGATGTTAGAAGACATCTTATGTGGAGAGTGGTTATCACTGAAGGTAGTTTTTGAAATTTCTTGCGTTCTTAAGTTAATGATGATGCCGCTAACAAAATATGAAGATGAAGAGGTTTCTTAGAATGCGATGACAGTGGGAAGTTTGCCAATGTTGCCAAAGACTTCTGCAAACTTTTTTCAGTTTCATTTGTCCACTTGATGATAAAACTGTAAAATAATTTTAGATCCAGATCTAAACTCTTGGGGATGTTAGTGTAATTATTGACTAGAGCTTTAGCTTCATATGTATGACTTTCAGCTGTGTTTTCACTAATAGTTGTAGACTCTTCTATAGCTTTCCTAAAGATAGAGTCTCAAGATTGGTGAAAGAACAGATGTGTAACACCTGTTGTTTTGCTTATTTACACAGTGCCTCACTTTGTAACACTGTGACTGGATTTTCTTGGTGGTTATGTATAGGCATACTGGAAGACAGTCAAGAAGCTTTGATTTAAAAATCAACCACCTATGAAATAATATATTTCTTTTTTATTAATAATGTTCTAAAAATGTGGCTTCACACAGTCACTTAACAAGTTAAAACTGTGTTTTAAAAAATTGAAATGTTAACATTACTCATTTAACAGGCTACAGAAAATGAATCATATTGTTTTCCATTTTCTCCTCTTTCTTTTCCTCTACTTGTCCTCTTTATTCTGTGTTCTGTTTTGGTGCCAGTTTTAATACTCTAGTCCTTCTAATAAAAGTTTGCAAAGATGCATGATTAACTTTATGAAATGTTAAATGGCATAATAGTAAAACCATTCATGTTCAAAAGGTGGTTTTCTCAATACTTTGCACTGGGGAACCTCAACGTCTTATCTAGAAAGCCTGTCATTCCATCTTTTTCCCTGTGTTCTGCTTTCCTGTCCCTCATGTTGTCTGTTTCTCAAAGATACTGTGTTTACTTTTAAACTCTCTGTATCAAATTCAGGCCCACTTGAGAAAGAGAATCAATATAAAATATATGTATAATTATATAAGAGATTTACAGCATGATTGAGAAGAGTCCCTGTGGCCATCTGTGGAATCAGGTGGAAGCATCCAAAATGGCCATCTGCGCAGGGAAGAGCTGGAGGATGCTGTAGCAGTTGGAGTTTGAGGCCTGGAAGCTCACTGCAGAGAGTGTATGTCTCTGTTGGAAAGTCAGAGTCTCCACTGAAGCCTGAAGGAAGTGGAAGCCAGTGTCCAAGGCAGTGGTGGAGACTGGAGGGAAAAGAGGCAAGACTTCCTCCTTCTTTTCCCTGTGACTCCGTCTAGGCCACGAGCCTATTGATCAGTGCCACCCACATGCAGAGTGGGTCTTCCCTTCTTCATCTGAGCCCTCTACTTCAGTCATCTGTGACATACTCAAAGCTTTACTAACCTTCTGGGTGGCTCTTCCTCAAGTTAAACCGACCATCATGATTAGGGGTCGCACTCCCTGATCAGAGTGACACCAAGAACTTCTGTTTCACTTGCTGTGTTTCTCCCAATGTTGGACACATGGTGAGAACATCATTCTGTTGAAGGAACAAAACATTAAGATTCCTTTTTGTTCCTTCTGTTCTTCTTGTGTTTTCTGTACACAAATAAATGTTAATAAGGAATATTTTTAAAAATCTACGGCCTAATTCAAAAATTCTTAGTTTTGACAACTGCCTTATGAATTTCAAAAGGTAGATTAAGGAAGTTTATAAGGGACAGTGACTTTATTTTTCATTCCTCTACCCAATCATTATCCAAAGCTTCAACAATTGTCAAAGGATGGGTGAAAATAGTAAGTTAGAGGTAGAGGTCAAGGCCAGGCCTTTGGCATCTGTAATCTCTTTGTTGCCATGGCAATGAGAAGTTGGTTGTAGGCAGTGCTGTCTGGGTGATGTTAGAGAGTTCACAGGTTGCATCACTGTTGTCTGCTGAAGCACATTCACAATTACTGCTTTGACATTTTGTGGCGCTAGGAAGAAACTCTGATTTCTGACCAGGATTTTGATAGACAAAGCTGAATATTTAAGAGGAAGCTTATGTGATAGTTCTGACCCCTGTACTAATAGTAAATGTGATTATGCAATAGCAAATAAAAAACGCTTTTCAGTCCAGCAGACATGGATTTGAATCTCAAGTACTGGGATCTCTCTTTGTGATTCAGTGTTTCCCGTCTGTGCAGTGGGGACCAGATTCCTACTTTGAGAATATTCCTTGATCCCTGGTCTGAGGGTCTGTGTTCGGAGCCCTACATTTTAGAAGATCTTGATATAGCTTTTTTGTGGGGGTAGTATAAGAGGTCTAAATACCCTATGTCCAAATATTTGAAAGTTATAAATCAAACTGGTAACATTGATAAAGAAGAAATGCACTTTTTCCTTTTACATGAGCAATTACCTAACTCAAAGACCTGAAATCACAAATCAAATCTAGAACAGAGTAGCATGTGGGAAGTGAACTTCCCTAGATAAAAACTCATCTCTCATTTTTTCTATTTCTTGTTCTATACACACTGTGAAGGGTCTCAGTCATGCACCCTGCCAATAAGTGTAAGTTCTAGATATGGCAAATGAGTCATATCCCCGCCTCTCAAAAGTCTGAGTTCTGTCTGAGGCAGCTGCACATAACCACCCCTTTGCCTAGATGTGCTCACAACAGTGCTTGGTCTTCTTGGTATCATGGACCCAAAGAGGATTTCCAGATGCTATTTATACAGGTATAAGCATCGTTAACCAGAGAATTTCATAATCTTGGATACTTAAGACCCAGTCTAGAAGCTTGAGGTTTGAATGGTGTTATGGTTTATGTCTGTGGCCCCCAAGCTTCATGCCTTTGCATTATGCATTTAT